CAAAATCTGAAATGTACAAAATTTGGAATTTTTTGAGTGCTGACATGATACTCAAAGGAAATGCTCATTGGAGCATTTCAGGTTTTGAGTGTTTAGGTGAGGGATGCTCAACCAGTTACTATAATGAAAATACTCCAAAATCTGGAAAACTTTAAAAATACTTCTAGTCTCAGACTTTTTAGATAAGGTATACTCAACTGTACATGGAAATTCATCTTCTATAGATGGGTCTTTAGTAATATAGTAGTGAGGTGTGAGAGAGGGGAAATGTTCTATAGTCTTAGGATTGGGTTGCAGTCTTTGATCTGTGTCCCTGGACTGTTAATTTCACCAATCCTTTTTATTTTTCTCCACTTAGGTGGGCTAGAATAGCTAGAGGGGACTGGAGTTGGTTATATCCTTTCCATATGTGGAAATGTAGAACTGGCTGGAGGTTTGTGTTTTCCTTCCCTCAGAAGGGTTAGGCTCTACAAAACTTAAGCAAGCTAGACTGGTAAAATAGTTTCTTCTGAGCACAGACCTTGTTAGGAACATAATGCTGTGACATTCTTCAAAATGATTACTTTTTCCCTCTTATTACTGAAAGCATGAGGTAATTTTTCTCTGATACTTTCTTTGAGGACCTAGTAGAGGTTCAGAAGATAATACTCAGAAAAGCATGTGGGTCCCCTTGTAACTAGGCCTCCTGGAATTTTTAACTCTCAGATTTGTTCACACTTTGTGTTGAGCAGTTTGGCAATTACAGTTTAGATTTTCTTACTCCAGTGCTGGTTCCCTGCTAGTAGGTTTCTCTTTTGGTAAATTGTGATTCTCTGTATCTGCCTGTCTGTTTCTCCAGCTTTGGGGGCACTGGTTTGTTCTGTTTCCTTACTTCTTTGTTGGCTCTAAGAAAAGTTATTGATTTTTCAGTTTGTTCTGATTTTTGTTTTTTTAGGACAGAGCAGAAATTTCTAAACTCTTTACATGCCATACTGGAAACCAGAAATCATCTTCTTTTTTTTCAACAAGCATTGCAAGTACTGAATGATCATCTTTATCTTGTTTATTCTCAGTTTTATACTTTAATATGGTAGATCTATGGAAAGCCTAAGGTATTTTTCAAATCCCTTTAGCTTGGTTAGTCTAGAATAGGCCTTTTTCTAGGGCATGGTTCTTACTCCAAAGGTATCACCTTTTTGGTATCTCAGCTGGATGTCAGGGCTCTTACCAAGATCTCTCCATTTTGCCACCTGAGACCCAGTCCTTATCACCATACAATATGTTCATGTAATGAATACGCATGTGTATTCCCGAATCTAAAATTAATAAAAAAAGAAAGATCTCTGCATTTTGGCAAGGTCAGAGCTCCAATGTCTCTAGTACTCTCTTCCTTATAGAGAATTCTGTATTTAAAATAATTGTTTTCTATTTCTGCAGTTTTTAGATAGAGGAGTAACTGCTAAATTCAGGGCATTCATGAAAATGGCATTCATGCTCTTAAAGGACTTGGTTGATGCTCTCTGAATATTTTTCTGTGGGTCATAAACAGATGGTTACAACGTAGAGAGATTTGTAGAATGTGAGAAAAATTAGTAAATATACTGGTTATAACAATTGACTTTATGATGCCTGGATAATATAGAACTTAGGACATTTATGAATGAGCTAATGGTGATTGGTGCAGACAGGCACTGATTCAGATACTGTCTTGCCTATTATGCCCAGCGATGTCTGTAATAGAACATCAGTGTCTGTAGTGAGACCAAATGACAGTTTTACTCAATAATAGTGAGTCATAGTAGCTTATTCTCTGAGGCACTCTTCCTCAATATCTAGCTGTACCTCATAGGCTGGTAATGTCTGCATAGACCACTTACGTGGTTCTAATTTTGTATAGTTACCCATGTGATCCTTGCTTTTATGAAAAGTCATTAATTTACAGGTAAAGGCACCAAACCTACTTGTCAGTGTCAAAACATCCACACAATCAGTTTAAATTTCTTTCTCAGTCTGCAGTAGTGTGATTTATATGTCTTAACCAGAGGTTCTACCAATTTGTTCACACATAGTGATGTCTAAGACTTCACCAAAAACCTCTAGTGGTGTACTAAATGTTGAAGTCTCAAGGGGCTTGGTCTTTACTGCTCAGGATCTGATCAAATTGAGAAATAAGACAAAGAAATAGTGATGGAGGGGAAAAAAATCAAATGTGTTACTCAGAAAATGTAAGGTGAAAATGTTGATTACAGATAGAGCTAAATTGGGTTGTTAACCTGACTCTGGAGTTTGGCTAACTGATTTGCCAAGCCAGACCAACAGAGTAACCCAAAATAGAGAAGTGCTGATAGCTTGCTACCTGTGGGAAGAAGTATAGAGATGAATTGAACATGCTTAATTTATTAAATACAAGTTAATCAGTGGAGAGACCAGGAATTAGACTGTCTTCTTACTGAATGAGAATGCATTTTCCTCTACTATGTCTGTTTGTATTTTTCTAAAAAAATTATTCACTTTAGACTATTTATGCAGATTCTTACTATGGAAGATAAGGATTTAGCTCACTTTTACGTCCTTCCCTGTCTGTTATCCTTTCATCCTTCCAGTGTAACTTTACTATAATTTTTGTTAAATAAGTATTCAGCATTTACGTACACAATTGTGTTATCTATCCTGTTTTTTTCCTTGATAGCATTTTTCCCCCATTGGAATTAATGTCTTTTTTTAAAAAAAAAAAGACGACGCTTTTCTTTCTTAGTATTTATACTCTTAACACTAGTGGAGCTCAAGCTTTTCCCTAGTTGTATTAGTATATCTATATGTTGATATTTAATCAAATTTATGGTCTTAAAGCAGATTCACCTGGTATGGTCTAATTTGGACTTCTTTTATACAAGTGCAGCTGTTTTAGTGGTTATTTTAGTATCTTACCTTTACCATTATTCTTACGAGCTTTTTCATCTTGCTGTTGGGTTAGATATTCTATTACCCAGATGTCCTGCTTTCTTTCTCTTGGTGTTTTCTCGTATTTTGTAGAGCACAGATTCCAATAGCTTCCTGATAAAGAGTATATAGGGGGCACATTTTTTGAGTACTTGTGTTTCTGAAAATATCTGTATTTCTACCCTCACACTTAATTTACAGTCTAAATCCTGAGTACAGAGTTCTAGGTTAGAAATAATTTTCCTTCAGAATTTTATTGCATTGTACTGTTGCTATCTTTTAGTGTTGTTAAGAAGCTTTATGTGTTTTTTAATCCTAAACTTTTCTATGCAATCTGTTTTTGTAAGTCTGTAGACTCTTTAAATCCATAATTGTCAAATTTTGTGATGGTTTGCATTGCTGGGTCTATTTTAGTTGATTGTGCTGGACCATGTAGATGAGTTCTTTCAGTCTAGAAGTTCATATCCTTTCATCCTAGAAAATTTAATGGAAGTATTTTTTGAATTCCTTCATTTCCACTACATAAACTTTCGCAGAATCCACACATTTTTAGCATTGTGCTTTTTTCTCAGCATGTAAATATGGTGCACCCTAGTTCATACAACCTATGCTTTACCCAGAGAACTTCAGTTTTTTGCCATTGTGGGAGAAGGGACAAGGTCAGACTGTACAGCGTTGAGGAGCTGATCTGAGGATTTAACTACTTTTAAAACAGATTTTCAAGAATCCTGATATTTTTAGTTACAATCTCACTCTTATTGCCAGACATGTGAGTCTATTGAGACTTATTTAGTGTACTTGCTTGTTTGCTTTTCCCACTATTGGCTTTTGATTCAGCTTTCTCAGATCTAAGTCACATCTATTGTGCATTTCTTCTAGAAACACATGTGCCTCTTTAAATGAATTAAATGAGATCTAATGGCTAATGTAATGAGCATGATGACTACTGATGAAGAAAAGTATTTCAACAACAGTGATACCATATGAAATTATTTTTGATTTTTATTGTTTACAAAGTCAGAGTTACCACTAAACTATTGTGATATTTTGCTTATATTTTTATTGAAGGAAAGGCTAAAGTTCTGTTAGAGGACAGCATGAAAATGAATGTACTCTTATCCACTTTCCTGGAATCCCTGAATGACCTAACTGGTACTGATATATAAAGCCACAGTCATGGTTTCCTATATTTGCCTTTTTTTAAAGGGGCCTCTTTATAATGCCTAACCCTGAATAACCGTTTCATTCATTCCACAAATATTTATTAAGTATCAACTAAGTGTAAGACACTGGGCACTAGACATACATTATTTAACAAAACTTACAAACCTCTGTCTTCATAGTGTTTTCTATTTTTAGAGGAATATATAATTGGTTATAGATAGAATAACAGTGTTTGTATATATTGCCATCCCTGGAAAAATAACTGAAGGCACATATATTTTGAAAATCATTACTTTACTTGAAACAGAACTTGGAAGTTTTTTCTTTTTTTTAAACTATAAAAGTAATATTTATTTTTTAAAAATTTGAGAAGATGGATAGGCAGAATTGAACAAATGTGTACCCATTTACCGATCAGAATTAACCACTGCTAACACCTTGGAACAGTTTCTTTTCTGTACACGAATACATATGTATACATTTAAATATCATACTTTATAAAATTGGATCATATCTAAAATCTTATATATGTTTTTAATTATTTTTGTCAAATATTCCAATTATAATATCTGTATAAATATTCAATTTTATGAATACACTATGGTTTATGCCTTTGGGATATTTTTCTCCCCCTCACTCTTAAGACTTGAGAGAAACAAAGATGTGAATTTGAAATGCTAAGGACTAGTATTGTGATTGGTATGTAGTGTGAGATAGTTGAAGCAGGGAGATACATTAGAAGGTGAAAAGTATTGCTTTAAATTATAGACTGCTTACATTCTATATTATTTAAAAGTAATTCATAAATAATTATTTAATGCTAATATGATTATTTTCAAAATTTAAATGAAAATCTTCATAGAAATATGTTGCCTTGGCTATTTTTTAAGTATTCAGCTAAATCTTTTTGTTTACAGCTGGGCTCAAAATGCAGAGAACTCAAAGATATTCATTTTGGCCAGTGTTACAAGATCTCAGATGAAGGCATGATCGTCATAGCTAAGGGCTGTCTGAAGTTACAAAGAATATACATGCAGGAAAACAAACTTGTAAGTACTTGTTATTATCCTTGTGTTGTTCATTTTGTTTCTAACTCTGGAATTCCTTAAACTTTGTTTATAAATTTTCTTCTGCTATTTTCTTTTGGCCATTCAGAGGCAAATATTTAATCAAAAGCAAAAATCCTCTCAAAAAAATACTTTTATAAATTGATGTCTTGAAACTAGGTGATGCTTATGATACTTGCATGTTAAAAATTCCTTGTTAGCATATGCTAATGTATCTTTTCTAAATTCTGACAGTGAATTAATGCTGGTAAACTGGAAAAATCAAATTTATTTGCCATACATATCTGTGGTTGTAGTACCCTTAGAGATTGTAATAATTCTAAATAGAATTTTTTAATGTCCAGGAAAATGTACACTTGTGAAATAGAGCTTTTTACTTAGTATGGTAAAAAAACGGGACTGAATAAATTAGAGCAGATAATCTTGGTAATTACATGAACTTTTGTATTTTAAGCAATACTTGTGTATCTCAGATAGATGTAGTGTATTATATATTTAAAGTCATTTAATTTTTAAATTGAGATGTAAATCACATATAAAATTTACTCTTTTAAATTTAATTATTTTTGTCAAATGGTTATTCCAGTTATGATGTCTGTACAAATATTCAATTTTATGAATACACCATAGTTTATACCTTTAGGATGTTTTCCTCCCCCCTTCTCTTAAGACTTCAGAGAAATAAAGATGTGAATTTGAAATGTTAAGGACTCTACGTATCTTGATTGATATGTAGTGTGAGATAGTTGAAGCAGGGAGGTAGATTAGAAGTTGAAAGGTATTGCTTTAAATTATAGATTGCTTACATTCTATATTATTTAAAAGTAAATCATAAATAATTATTTAATGCTAATATTATTTTCAAAATTTATATGAAAATCTTAATAAATTGGCTTTTCAATTTTTACAATTGATTGGTTTTTAGTATATTCATAGTGTTGGGCAATCATCACCAATATCTAATTTTTGAACATTTTCATTACATCAAAAAGGAAATGTGCCCATTAGCTGTCACTTCCCAATAACCTCTTTGTAACCCCTGAAAACTGCTTATTTACTTTCCGTCTCTATGGACTTGCCTATTCTAGATATTTCATATCAATGGAATCACATAATATATGGTGTTTTGTGTCTGTCTTCTTTTACTTAGCATGTTTTCAAGGTTCCTGTTTAGCAAGTATCAGAGCTTTATTCCTTTTTGTGACTGAATAATATTCCAAAGCAATTTAATTTTAATTTGATAGTTACATCATATAAATAGACAGAAAAAATTGTCACTAAGGAGGCCTAATAGGAGTTTTTAACGTTGAAAAATAGTGTACAGTCATGCACCATATAATGATGTTTGGTCAGTGTTAGATCTCATATACAACAGTGGTCCCTTAAGATTATAACGCTGTAGTTTTACTTTTTCGAACTTTAAATATGTTTTGATACACAAATACTTGCCATTTTGTTACAGTTGCCTACAGTTTTCAGTCTAGTAAATGCTGCACAGATTGTAGCCTAGGAGTAGTAGGCTATACCAGATAACCTACGGGTATAGTAGGCTCTACTATCTAGGATTGTGTAAGTACACTCTGTGATGTTCACACAATTAGAACATCACCTAACGATGCATTTCTCAGTATTGTTGAGAAATTTGAAAAGGCTGTTATGGCAGTCCTTAATGTAGTATATTTATAAAGAAGATTTGCTTTTTAAAAAAAGAATCTCAAAAGCAAAGAGATCTTTTTCTTGCCCTTGTAGTTCATAAAATTTGATAAGTATTTGATAACTACATCTTATTTATGAATTTAAGTTTTGAAAGGTTTCTTGAAGCATCAACACTACTAATGAGATAATGCTCTTTTAAAAAAGTTAGAAATTAAGTTAGAAAAATGGAAACACTATGAATTAAAAGTAAATCCTTTTTTAAAAAAAAACCATGTAGACCTGTAATCCCAATACTTTGGGAGGCCAAGATGAGGGGATTACCTGAGCCCTCAGGTTCGAGAACAGCCTGAGCAACTTGGCGAGACCTCATCTCTACAGTAAATCAAAAAATAAGCCAGATGTGGTAGCACATGTCTGTAGTTCCGGCTACTTGGAAGACTGAGGCAGAAGGATCACCTACCTGTACTCCAGCCTGGGTGATGGAGTGAGACTCCAACTCAAAAAAAAAAAAAAAAAAAATCCGTGAAAATGTTATAAAAACTATGTAACAAAAGTACTTCACATTTCTATTAACATTTAGTATATACGTAATGATCACTCTGGAGGCAGTGTAATTTTGTAAAGAGCAGTAGGTCTTTTTGGTCAGAGAGACTGAATTTTTGAATTCTAATATCCACTTACTTGCATTGTGACCCTGGAAGAGTTACTTCTCATTTGTAAGTGGGGCTGTTGGTATTTGTTTGTCCTTTTCTTGGTTGTGGTTTTGACAGTTACTTGACATAAGTTGCCTAGAAAAAGCTGTGACCTGTAGGAGATGTGGAACACTGTGTAGTTTTTATGCCCTCACAACTGTATTTGTTATCTAAACTGTTGGTTTCCACTTTCCATCCAAGATAAATTAAAGGATGGTAATCTCAACTTAAAATTTTTCTGTTTCTCAAGTAATAAGGTATTTGTATACTGATACTTGTTTTCTTATTGAGTAAACAGAGAGTCTTTTTTATTGGCACAATAAAAAATGTTTAGCAAGTGGTTTCCCTAAGGCAGCAGTGGTTTACGTTTTGAAAGTTTTGTTATGTTCACATTAGTTTTTCCCCAATTTTGTGGTACATTGAAAATATGTACTTAAATGTGAAAATAATCAGTTTTGTATTTAGTTTTATTCATTACACATTTTTATTTCATTGGGAATTTGAAGTAATTTAGGTAAATCTTAAAGATCAGTTCAATATTATTCTTCTTATTTAAGTTTCTTAGAGAAATTTAGAATAATTTAAACTCTTTATTGGATAATTGAGATATTGCTGACTGACCCCCCATAGAAACTTTGCATTTTAAAATTTTATGAATTAAGAAGAAATATTTAAATTACTTGCAAAGCTACAATTTTATGTAGTTACAGTATTTTTGCTGTGACCAGTATTACTAATAATTTAACACCAGATATTTTAAATTAGCAACTAATGGAAGTATATACAGAGAACATGATGTCAGAAAGGATGACATAGTAGTTTGACCTACACTTTGACAAATGTTGATTGTTAACCAAATTATTTCACTAATTTTCTTAATAAATTGAATCTTCCCAAAAAATATTAGAACTTCATTGCATAATCCCACAAAAATTATAGCATAGTTTTTTTTAAAGAATACATTTTGCTGACCCCAAATATCAAGTTGATTGCTTTTTAATACGTTGGCAGTATTTGAGAATACCTCTTTTCATATTATATTTTCACCTTTAGATGGCAGCATTGTCTTTGTATATTTAAAAAGTGACAAAGCTTTTGTGTCCTTGATATAACTGTATGGATATAATGATTACACAAGTTTCTGCTGATGTTACGGTTCATTTTGAATTTTTGGCCTTTGTGTGATCTTAATGAGAAAATTTCTAGAATGTTGCAAGATAAACTTGCCATTTTACACAGACTAGCAAGATAGTCTAACATTCTATTTGTGGCACTGATTTAAGTGTGATTAACTTTAGAGGAAGAATTCCTCTGTTTATTTGAGAGAGAAATTTTATTTATGTGGAAAGTGATGGCAATGATTGGACTCAAATGAATTATGGGGAAGCAAAGAATTGAGGACTTATATGCAGAATTTTCCCAAAAGATAAAGAGTTTCTGTTTCAGTCATTTTTAAGTAAGACAAGTGTCATGTACCTACATGGGTGTAGTTTGATTTGCTGTAAAACTCTTGTGTACACTCTAGAAATAGATTTGAGGCATACGCTTGTATTGAGAATCTAGCATATTGTATGCATCTGTCTCTCTCTTCTTCTAGTGATAGATTTTATATCACTTCTGTACAGTACTTACCACAAAACTATTCTTAAGCCATATTTAGTTTGGGCATATAGTTATTAATGATCTAGAAACATCAGTAAGTATATATTCCCTCTGCTTCCTTACTCTGCTTGCACCAGATTTTGCTTCTCTACTTTTTAAGAACAGAGAAGCGCTTTGAGGGGCTTTTTATTCCATTGTAAGATGACAGGTTCAGACAGTTTATCTGTCATTTGTTATACAGCCTGATACTTTAATGGACTAGGACTTTATGATTTATTTGAAAAATAACTTCAGTGCTCTTAGGGTTGGCATATTTGATATAAATACGTGTATATGTTATATGTATATTTGGTATATTTTTGACACCTTTTATTCTGAAGAGTTGTGCTGTAAACTAGTATAGATTTCTCAGTTATCAAAAAAATAGCAATGTATTATGAATAGATTTGAGAAAGTTTTAGGGAAATGATAAAGGTTTCCTGGTTGAACCTTGATTCCTGAAAGTTAATTGTGACTTTTTACATTTTTACTTTTTAATTTCTTGGTTGATTTTTTTTTTTTTTTTTGAGTTGGAGTCTCACTCTGTCACCCATACTGGAATACAGTGGCCGCTCCTGGCCACCGCAGCCTCAACCTGCTGGGCTCCGGCAATCCTTCCACCTCAGCCTTCCAAGTAGCTGGAACTACAGGTGCTCTTGGTTGATTTTTTATAATTGTATAATTCTGTGACTTCACTTATAGTCCTTTGGCTGCTGCTGTAACAATATTGTATTAGATTTTATTATCCTTTGGAGGCTTATGTGGCTAGAGTAGGATCAAAATTCACCTTACCATGCTTTCTTTTTCTAGACTAGAAGCATTTTAAGGAGAGTGAGGCAAATGCCACTTTTGAGTTACACTGAACTCAGTTCAAATCTTGATCCTGCTGTTTCTTAGACATATAACTTGATTTAGTTATCTTAATTTTTGTACTTTCATTTCTTTCTTTATAGAAAGGATATAATACTACTTCAAATATGTTTTAATGAGGAT